CACAGCCGCTTTTCCTCAGTCAAGTATGGTAAGTCTATTTCAGGTCTCTCATTTTTACCCTAATAGAATACTGCACAGTCAACTCCTTCTTCAACAATTAATGTTCACCTAGAATTTCTTGCTATCACAAGTTATTTGCATCTGGTTTTCTCAGTCAACTCAAATCTCCTATTCCGCCCAATGGTGACAATATATTAAACTCATCCTCTTCATCTGCCTTTTGTTTCATAAGTATCCAAAAAAAATCCCTCCAGTACAGGGGATCTATGCAACATTTTATTCTGTTTAGTGTTGTAACAGTGTTAACTACGTGCATTCATAAAAGTAGCCTTTATTTTCGTTTAGTTGCTTGACAGTAAGTATCACTACAGAGTCAGTGTGCTTTACAAATATTAGAATATTTCACAATATTCCTTTGGAATGGAAAGGTACTGTTGCTATTGCCATTTTACACCTGGGAAACACGTTTCATATGCTGGAACCACATCTGCCATGGATTTCATTTCATGAAAGAAAAAACCCAAACTTTCATCATACAAAATCTCAAAACAATCATTGAGAGGCAGCAGCACCAGGAACTGTTAAAACCACTCTCAGAAGCTCAGTAGCTCATAATGCTCCTGATTCCAGGTTCTCACGTCTGTCCCAAGCTTCTTGCTCAGCATCTCCCAACATCACAGTGCAGACCAGTCTCTATCTGCCCGCCTGCCCTGCAATCCTCCATCAGCCATGCAACTTTTCATTTCTAGTCCACTGTTTGTATTTTTTTTGCCCAGCAAGCACTAGACTTCTACTTGAGCTTTTTCTGTTCTTCAAACTTCTCAGATCATTCTTTACTTAATCAGCTCTACTATTTCAGCCTTAGATCACCAACCTCAGCAACTCCACCCAAACAAATTCCAGTTCTCCCATTCATGCCTAAATTGTTTTCAGTCCTAGTTACATTAGCCAATTTTTTTCTACCACAAACCAGAAGCTTATTCTCAAGTCCCAGCCCCCAACAACTACAGCTTCTGGTTCTGCCATAGGCTCTTGTCATTTTTTTCTCTCTCTGCACTGAAATATATCTATTTCCTCCTTCATACTACCAGTACAGTCAGACATCGAACACCACAATTCAGACAGACCTCAACCCCTCCAAAGCAAAAACCCTGTCCAGCCTTGAGCAGAAGCATGGTCCAGTATGCATCCAGTACTAAATGAATTTACATACCAAACTAAAGCAAGTTTCTACCTGTATTTCTGACCTGTGATTTTAACTATGCATTTTGAATGCTTTCAGCTTGCCAGAATTTGAGCAGATTTTACTCAGGTAGCAAAATATATGTTCATGACATAGGCTACTCTGCTGCCAGATCTCAAGATCTTGGTCTTACATTTGGGTATACAAGAACAAACAAACTGCTGCCGGAAGATTCTTAGATGTGGATAGGTGACTGATTTTATTATATCAACAAGGACATAATAAAAATAAGTTCCATCCAAAAGACTGAGAATCGGTAATAACTGAACTCAGTAAACTCTTTATACTGTAAGGGTGTGGACTGCTTACTAATAAATACCAGGTTAAATTGTTTAATGAATCTTCAGAACTCTTTCAAAGTTATAAAAATACAATCTATAAAGGAGGTTTGTACACTTTTAAACTGTAAAGAATCTAGGCATCACTCCAGTGGAATTAGTCTTAGATTTCATGAAGTGTTGCTCTAGGAAAAAAAAAAAAGTGGCTGATATAGCTCAGCAGATAATACATATAATTTATTATTGTACTTGATTACATATTTTTTTTCTGAAAAATAGGAGCACATTTGAAGTTGACTCAGAAAAGTTCAAAACTGTGGTTGAAAATTTGACTGACAAATGCACTTTCTTACATGAAGTACTACGAAAGTAGGTTTTTTTCCTTCTCAGACACAGATATAATATTAAATCAGAAGGGGGGAAACCTTACAAACTGATGGTATGTGTAACCTGGTTCATGTAAATTAGGCACTCCTGCTTAATTGCACTGAACGAGAACTAAAAAAAAATCATTAGATATTTAAGAGTTTTATTTGTGTGCACATATGTGTGTGCACATGTGTGTACATATGCCTACATATATACCAAACTACACAGGAAACAAGCATAAATGGTATGAAGCTAAACAGTTGATAACAGTTGTAGTCTGTGTGTGGCAAAATATTTTGCTATGAAGATAGAAATGGACTTCTAGAACTGTTTCTACAGCTCTGGCTTGACCACCCAACAATTGCCATCTGTTTTGTGTTCTGAAGAAGATAACTCTGTCAAATAGATATGATCATATAATTAAGTATAAAGACAATGTTTGACTACAGCATAGCTGGACAAAAATTGCATAGGAAACTACAGTTTTTCTCCTTGGTAGTTCTTGCCATTGCAACCTTAGTCTAATTTCTGACAACTCTTGTGTACATCAGTGTTAAGTTACATGATATTATTTCTTTTTCCAGTGGCTACTTTACTAAAAACTAGGAAGTCACATTCACAGTAGTCAAAAAATTAATGTAAATGAGATCTGCAGACAGTAATTGCAGTTCATCCTTCCTGAGGACACACATTAGAAGGATGACAAGAGATGCATTGCCAAGACTCATATTTGGACACAAGAAATCTCAAATTCCACTCCAGATGCAGAAAAAAACGAGTACTTGTGGGCAGCTGCCTTTTGTTTTTAACCTTAATCTTTGCTTAAACTATATTTTTAACCACCTATCTCACACCCTATCCAAAAGAAGCCAAGCAAACAGAATCTGCACACCTCTCCTATTCAACTTCAAATCTCTTCAACAGTTACAGCTGTCCATCCCAGTCTTTTCATTACCCAGATAATCTTTGTCTCCAGTCCCAAGATCTTTCCATCTGAAACTCACTGTCTACCAGTCCCAGCTGTTCATATATCAATTCATATGATTTCTCCATTCTTCCAATATCTTTCTTAATATTCAAATAGTCCTATGCACATCAGTAGCTCCAGGAATTCTGCTACAATGTTCAAGCAACTCTAAATACATTATAATTCTCAATGGCATTAAAAATAGAAATTTGGGTGAACTTTGATGGGAACAAAAGAAAGATATTCATGGTACAAAGATAACCCTCTGTCTGAAAGCAAGGGTAACAACTTCTCATAGAGAAGTTCTTCACCCTTTCTTCTGCAAATAGCACAATTAAAACATTGGTTAGATGCAACCAATGGATTCTTAAAATGCACACTAATGATTCTTCTGAAAACTATTTGAGCTTTAAAGAAAATACAACAGAACTATTTACAGACATATGATCTAATTGCTCAGTTCCACATAACACAAGCATGACAGACAATTCTACATCTGGCATGAGACTGAAACAGCTATCACTGCCAACCAACAATGAAGGCTATAGTTTGGGAAAAAAATTCCCATTGTTGTCTTTTTTCCAATAATTTATTTATTTCTCTGAAACCAGAAAATACAGCAATACAGGATGAAAAAGCAAAATTATAAACTTCTTATGTAAATTAAAATTGTGTATTTCTTAAACAGAACAAAGTTAATTAACTTAACAGTTTACATAAAGTTTCAAATTGTTATAATACTACAAGCATAAGCATAGCTTAAGAGTGCCGCATCACCTTCACATGTAATACCAAGAGTTTTCTAGAAGTCATTATGCTCTTGGCTACCTGGTAAATAGCTCTTTCTACTCCCCTAGATCCAAATTCAACCCTGAAAAGATATACAAAACTTATGTCTTAAAGGAGATTAAATTTTAAATACAAATCTCTAAATAAGTTCCCTGTTTTGACAAATAAATTAACTTCAGCTCCACAAAAGCATAAAAAACCCAAAATTCAGAACTCAGAATGACAGTCTATCCCCCCTCCTCTCTTTTACTTAGTGCCTGATACTTTACAAAAACCTCAGATTCAAGTCTGGATGTTGAAGATCACGACATTTGTTATTAAATTACTAAAGAAAGACAGTAAGTCAGTATGACTGCTTGACTCTTGAATGTGCTTATATTTTACACAGAAGTTAAAAACCAGGAAAGTATTTAAGTTCTAACGTCTACTTAGAAATTTTTTTTCCTTTAGATTTTAATATAAACTAAGCATCTATATGCCTTTCCTTACATTGCTTCAAATTCCTAACAATTCACCTAACATAAACCTCAATACTTAACTACATTACATTATACAACTAGAAAAAATAAAAACACAGCAGCAAAGTTGGTAGGTCCTAGCAAAGCCGGTAGGTCCTAGCAAAGCCACATAAAATTGAGGCTGGAGTGAAAGGTTCACAGCTCAAAATGCATCACTGGCCATCCAGTACGTGTTGTAACCCTAGCAATATTTGGGAAGTAGCAGATGAGGAACTATCACACAAAGGTAAAGTGAATTCACCCCTCATCAGTGCAGTGGTCCTCAAAAGATCACGTTACACTAAGCTACCATGAAAGATCATGTAAAAGAGGGGATACAGGTTATATGAAAATAAAAGACAGAGGAGACTAGACAACATAAAAGGACAGAACTACTGAAAACATAGCGCAAAGTAATACTCTGCTGTTTAGAACAAACGCTGAATTATCTATTCTCAGCAACAAGTTTCAAAGAAAGATGGAAAAACACATCACTTTGAAACTGGCAGCAGACACACTTGAACTAAATAATAGAGAAAAGTCAAAGTTGCCTAAGGACAGAAGCCTTGTTGCACGATATAGTAACAGATAAATTCAAAGTACTCTACTGTGTCACAACTCATAAAATGGTCTTTTTAGATAACAGTTAACCTCAGTTTAGTCAGGACCCTCAGAATACTTTTCAGAACGTAACATGAAAAAGATGTTAGAGCACTGCATACTTACCCAGCACAATGAACTGGCTCTAACGAATTGCAGACTACTGAGATACTTTGCAATGACTAACCTTGACTATTTACAAAAAGCAAAGAAATTAAAGTTTTTTAGCATTTATTTTTAAAAAGTAAAGTATTTACCTGTGATATTTCCCAATATATCTTTAGTGTGGGAAATCAAATCTTCACTTTCTCCATCTTTGAAGTTGCCTATTTCTCCATAATAAAGAGCAATCCCAAGTTGCATTATACGTATAAACATAGGAAGCTGCTGATCAGAGATTGAAAGTTTCAAACTTTCAACTAATGTGTGAATCTACAACATGAAAGAAAACAAAAGAAAATAATAAAGCTCTGTCATCATCAAAGTAATTTTGTATGTGCATTCTAATTGCTAAAAACAAAAGCTGCAATACAGCATGAGACAAAGCTGCAAACAATGACTGTCAAAAACAGACTGTCTGGGTTGCTACACAAGAGATGTTCAGGTTGAAAAGTCAAATGTAATATATTTTGTATATATAAAAAATATTTCTTTTCCTTTTACAATTGTTGCTGAAGAAATTTCTAAAGCATAAGTCACATAAGTGCATCTGATTAAACTTTTTTTTCATTAGAGAGTTTCATAAAAATCTCTGTATGCTAAAGAAATCCTAGATATACTGGTTTTAATATGCAAGGTCCTTCATTTTGATTCTTTCACACTCCAAACAACGTTGGGAATGGACAAGTAACAGGAGGCGAAAAAGGATTAATTCCAACTTAAGTGCAGAAAACTTCTCTGGATATTCCACTTCCAACATGCAATTAAGCAGTTTTCTCTAAGTGAAAGCAAGCTTTGCAGAGACTGTAATTACTAGGATAAAAATTAATCTTTCTTTAAATATTTTAGCTATTTTATTCAATACTTAAGAAAGTTTTCAAGAGTATGTGATCATGCTATAAAGACAAAACCAGACTTGATAAGAAAGCTACCTTTCATTAAAATGAGATGCATAAAATAAAACTATTGTAAAAAAATGACAGTCTGTAACTTCAGATATATTTCTATCTCCAGGTCCAGTTTCTAAGTGTTGTGGGTGAAAATAATAGAAATGGAACGTAACAACACATCAGCATTGGCCTTAATGCAATCCAATTCAAGAAACATGAAAAATTATTTTGTAAACAATGGGCAGGTAAAAATAAAGCAGTAAAATAAATATTTGTATAAAATTAGGCTAATAATCTAGTAAGACTTCACTAATAAATTTATATGAGGAAATTTCTTAATAAAGCCACAGCCTTAGTCATGCAGAATGAGTGACAACATAGTGTAAGCCATTTATATAGACCAGAAGAAAGATTTTAGGGATTAGAGCTGCATCAAGAGAAGCGTGGGAAGCAGGTCGAGGCAGGTGATTCTCCCTCTACTTCGGTCTCGTAAGGCCCCACCTGGAGTACTGTGTCCAGGTCTGGAGCCCCCAACACAAGAGAGACATGGAGCAGCTAGAACGAGTCCAGAGGAGGCCACAAGGATGATCCAAGGGCTGGAGCACCTCTCCTATGAGGACAGGTTGAAAGAGTTGGGGCTGTTCAGCCTGGAAAAGAGAAGGCTCCGGGGAGATCTTATAGCGGCCTTCCAATACCTGAAGGGGCCTACAAGAAAGCTGGGGAGGGACTTTTCATAAGGGCAGTTAATGACAGAACAAGGGGAAATGGTTTTAAACTGGTAGAGGGGAGGTTTCGATTAGATATTAGGAAGAAATTATTTCCTGTGAGGGTGGTCAGACACTGGAACAGGTTGCCCAGAGAAGTTGCGGATGCCCCCTCCCTGGAAGTGTTTAAGGTCAGATTGGATGACAGCAACCTGATCTAGTGGAAGGTGTCCCTGCTCATGGCATGAACTAGATGGTTGGAACTAGATGATCTTTAAGGTCTTTTCCAACCATAACCATTCTATGATCCTATGAAAACAGCATGTAAAATCCTAAGATACATTTTAGAAATTAAAAATTAATCAGTTAATACCAATTTCTCAGGTCAGCTGACTAAAAGTTGTCAATAATAAACCCCTTCTGTACAGACAAACTACAGGAAGGATAAGGAACAAATAACTGCCTTAAGATTTGGAAGAAAAAAAATATTATTTTGACAGAATTCTTTTAATTTCACACAAGGGACATACATCATAGTGGAGGATAGGAACACTAGGTACCACTCTAGGCAATGAACACAATTAGACAGTGGCTTAATTGAAATTATGGTACACTCCTGGACTTCTTGCATGGTACTCCCCTCCCATCATGATGCTGCTCTTAAATTGCCAGTGGAACTCATCTGCCTTTCAGTAAGTTGACTCATCTCATTAAAGCCAACAGAAAACTATTTATTTCTTCTTGTCCAGTTAGCTTTCTGTCAACATAGTGAGTTGACTTAGATGACTAACATGTCAGACAAATGTCAGTGCTGCTGCAAATACAGGGAGGCAGGACTGACAACCCCAGTGCAAAACAGCTCATCTGTCCCATGCTTGTCTCATCCCATGATGACAGCAATAAAAGCAATAAAAAACTCAAAACTCTAGTAATTTCACATGTGCTTTGCTGCCTTCCCCCATGTATACTATTTTCATTGAAAAAAGGAGCTTGGTGTTCCCAATTTAGCAGCATACAAGGGCAGATCCAGTACTTCAGAACTGTCCTCCTTTGAGAAGTCTCAACTTAAACTCATTAAGATCAGATTGGCCAAAACTTTGCAATAGACATAGTAGTCAAAATTATACAAGTTATAAAAATATTGTGGTCCCTACAGAGAAACTAAAAGAGCACATGCTATTACAAACATGGAAGTCTTGGAAACTTTCACTGAAGACTGAAAAACAGATGTGCTTTAGCAAGTGAGCAACACAGAGTATGAAAGTTTTCATTAAAAAAAAATCTTCACAGATTTGTAGAAAAAGATTGAGTGCTGCTGGGTTTTGTCTTTAGCTGGGAAACAAACCACCAGAACACAAGCTGCTGGCATTCAGTATTCCACCCTTCAGACACACTGAAGCTACAGTCATTTCATTTGCAGCACTGACTTTTAAAAATCTTGAAGCATTCTTGAATTTATTCCATTAATGAAGTAGTTATATTTACTGCTAACAGCTCCTTTTACTTCAACTGTAAGAAAATATAGCTATTTCAATTTAAAAGTTAAATATTTTAAAGACAGTTTTTTCAAATAACTGCATCCTGATGATCCACAGCACACAATCTCCATGCATGCAACAAATGAGAAAGTTATCAAATGTAAAATTTGTAAGGGTCAACAGATTTGTACATCTAATTGTTGCATAATAGTATGGCACTGAAATATTATAAAAGATTTAAGACTTTAAAAATAATTACCTTTGAAACATAACACAACTATTAATTCACTTAAATATTGATCTAGTATAATATATCTAAATGTTTTGACTTAATTGAGCATTTTTCTCAACATCTTCATAAACAGCATTTTATATTTAAAGATTGAAGAAAAAAGAAAAAAATAAAAAGAAAGAAAAAATAAGTAAACTATGTGCAACATAAAAAAAAAATCAGAGTATATATTTAAAAAAAAAAGATAAAAGTTATCCTTGAACAAACTGAAATGTGCCTTAAAAAAGGGCAGGGGCAATAAATGACCACTAAAAATAACCAAAAAAGTTTAATAGGGATTTAATTGAATTACTGTCACCTCAGTGCATTCTAGTATGTGCTTTATTTTAGTCCAATATTCACTAAAAATTGTAAGTAATAATACAATAATATTCATCATTTTTTTCAACAGTAGTACCATTTTAAACTATATGGAAGACTGTCAGCATTTCCACTAAAGTGCTCTGTCAGAGACTTGTAAATTGGCCATAAACTTTTGCTCTGTAAACTTAGCATGTAGGGCTTCAGCTAGGTACAGATCACTTCTCCAAAATTTACAGAAGTATGTGGTTAATTTAGAAATCAAGCCTTTTAAGATCTGCTGTCTATATGCAGTAATCATACTATCACCACAGAACATAAAGACCATAACAGGTAAACTACAAGACAGTCATATGATGATTCCTTATTATCACTGGAATTCATTGGAAAAACAGTAGGAGTGAAAGGTACTTCAGTCTCTCCACCAACTCAGCATTTTGCTTCTGCACTGCAAAACATAAAGATGTCCCCAAGTAATACTGCATCCCTGCTCACTAGGAACCTGGGAAGGTGATGGAACAACTTATCCTTGGTGCCATCTCTCGGCATATGAAGGATAACAGGGTCATTAGGGACAGTCAGCATGGCTTCACCAACCTTCTAGACTTTTATGAAGACATAACCAAGTGGCTAGATGATGGCAAAGCAGTGGATGTGGTCTATCTCAATTTCAGTAAGGCATTTGACACGGTCTCCCACAGCATCCTCGCTGCTAAATTGAGGAAGTGTGGATTAGATGATCAGATAGTAAGATGGACAGTTAACTGGCTGGTGGGAAGAAGCCAGAGAGTTGTGGTCCTAGTTGGAGACCTGTGTCTAGTGGAGTCCCTCAAGGGTCGGTACTAGGACCAGTATTATTCGATATATTCATCAATGACCTGGATGAGAGAACAGAGTGCACTGTCAGCAAGTTTGCTGATGATACCAAGCTGGGAGGAGTGGCTGACACGCCAGAAGGCTGTGCTGCCATCCAGCGAGACCTGGACAGGCTGGAGAAATGGGCCGAGAAAAACTTAATGAAATATAATAAGGGCAAGTGTAGAGTCTTGCATCTGGGCAGGAACAACCCCAGGCTCCAGTGTAAGTTGGGGAATGATCTATTAGAGAGCAGTGTAGGGGAAAGGGATCAGGGCGTCCTGGTGAACAGCAGGATGACCATGAGCCAGCACTGTGCCCTCGTGGCCAGGAAGGCCAACGGCATCCTGGGGTGCATTAGAAGGGGTGTGGTTAGTAGATCAAGAGAGGTTCTCCTCCCCCTCTACTCTAATCTGGTGAGGCTGCATCTGGAATATGAATATGCACTCTGTGATTCTGTGAACTGAGCTTGGCTTGCTAATCCATTTCACATTGTTCACTGCATAGTGCTGTGAAGTTCATACACTGAAGTTTCTTGTTATTTATGAAAGTGAGCTACATTTGAAACAGTAACACAAGTAAAAAATCCTTTCCATCTTATTGCAGGCACCTGAAAGTATACAGTACTTTTTTTCTTTAATAGATTACCTGCAGACATTTTTTTTCTCCCCCCTTACAATTATTATGTTCTCTTTTTTAAAACTTCAGGAAAAGCAGAAAATATTAGAGAGCGTTACTTCCTTCCTTACATGCTGTTATTGTACATAGACTAATTGCATCATATAAACGAAACAAAATTTTAAAAAAATCCCTTTAGCAAAAAACAGCATTAGCTTTTCAATTTACTTTAAATTTCAAAGTATATTTTGAAGAACCTCAAAACTTCACAAGTAAGTAGCAAAAAAAAAAAAAATTTTGGATACTTACTTTAATAATAGATGGCATTTTGGAGTTGAGGTTATCATAAGTAAAATGCAGACGAGTCCTGAAGGAACATTTGTACAGCAGTGGTTCCTGGTAAAATTCAATTTTACCACTAGCATTTCTCTTGTCAAGACACACTGTGCAGTCAGAAAAGTTGATCATCTTTCTCAGTACCAGATCAGTGGCTTTTAAAAGAAGTATATAGGTTAAAAAAATATACTGCATAAGAAAAACAAGTTATGCATACATACTTATATCTAGAAGAAAACAATGTAAGATAGTTGTGTGGTCATTATTTTCTTTAGTCACCTAAGCAAGTACTTTGCTGACGATTTAAATAATTTAACATGTTACAAACTTTTTAAGCTGAATATTTGAAAGGAGAGAATCCAATTCAAATTTTCATCCCTTCACTGTACCTTCCATCTATTTATTAAAGTAAGAGCACTGCTTCATGTGCAAGCATAAGACCAATAAATCTTATACTCGTCATTCTCCCTGAATCTTGCATATTTTCCCCCAAAGTTTAATTTTGAATCATGCAAAGCAAACAAGAGCTATTATAATGGCCTTAATACAAAACATATTTTGTAATTTTGTCATATTAGTTCGTAATAATTTTAGCCAGAACAAAGAAATAGTTCCAATGGTCAGGAAACCATTAATTAAATTTCCCCTTCTATCTGTGATCATCTGTGTGATCTTAAAATACTCTTGCTCTGCTCAAATTCCGCCTCTACCAAACATCAGTAAGAACACCTAGACTTACAGGTGAACATTGGTAATTCAAAGACTGAGACATTCAGATACCATAAGAACAAGATAAAAATCAAAAAGTTGGGGTTTTTTCCTGAAAATGTGAAGCAAAATTAAGCATGTCTTGCAATTGGCATGTCATGTTCACCACAGTGCAGCACATCTTACTATCTCTTTAGCCATCCTGTTTAGAGAGTTTTAAGATCATCAGAAACAACTGCAACAGAAGGCCTTAAAACGTTACTGCTCATTCACAAAGACAGAAACAGACTGCCCAAGCGCTCACCGCCAGTAGCAAGCACAAGATGAAACACAATCACAGAAGGATGGCAAGTATGAGCAGAGAGCTACAAAACATGTTGTATAATTACCTGTGATCATATAAGTTAAGAATCGAACTATATTATTATAATTGGTTCTTCAAAAAGAAGGACGGGAAAAAGTGGTAAGAAATGAAAATAGGCATAAAGTATCTTACTTCTGACATAAAAGAGCCATTTTTACTAGACTTGAAAATTTCTGTATTAATTTAAGAGTGCCTCCACCGTGATACCTAAAACCAAAAAAATATCTACTCACCAGAGATGTCCATAAATGCTCGATCCCAAAACTCATCCACTGTATAGCATTCTGCAGAAGTAATATTGACCGAGAGAACGATATCATCCTCCACATATTTTAATATGAGATTGTTGATCACAATGTTGACATTGTTTACAACACGTCTAATCAAACTCTGAACATAACCTATTAAAAAAAAAAAATTAGGAGTTAAAAGAAAGACATGATACCAAGTTCATTTATTACTAAATTCATTATTTCCAACTTATACTCCTTTTTAAAATCGAAACTGAAAGAAACCAAGTATCATTGTCCTTTATATATAAAAAAAAGAATCACATGACAAATCTCTTTAAGAAGGCATTTAGTGCAGTTAAGTCAATCAACATCCTGGAAGTGCAGAGAAACTACAAAAACAAAACTGTAAAAACTAGAAATATAATATAGTGTAAGAGCTTAATTTTTGGTGGCAAGAGTCAGCTTTCAAAATAAGTAAGAAAACAGAAGAGACTGGATTATTGTAGACAAAGAATTCTAATGACAGACTTTTTTACTTGAAAGATAATTAGAAATAGGTTTGGAAAAGTGAATATCAGTTGTTAGGTTACTTTTCAAGCATGCATATTTGCTCCCTCAGTTTTGTTTTGTTTCGTTTTTAAAGTTAACTAAACATTAATATGTCTAGTCCTTTTTTCATTCTAAAACCTCATATAACCACATGGTGCTCAGTAAGACACCTGTGAGGTATAGCAAAATCAATTTCTGTCAACAACCCAAATAGGAAAGACCTGCATTGAAGCCTGTTGGGAAGAAATCCATTTGTATTTTTTCAGACATAATGTGATTGGAAAAATGATCTCGCCTGTGAATTCCCACTATGCAGTAAACACTCGTACTTCACCAATGTGGAAAAGAAATTAAATACTATCCATATTCATTTTATGTATACTGAATGTAACTATGGAGCCAACTCATTTGTGCTTTAAAATTTATAACATTACACAGATTCTATCTAAAAATACATTTAATTCATGCTATAGAGGTCTAGTGTGGTAACCACGCTGAATAAAGCAAGCTAAGGATACAGGTTTAAATCCACAGGCTTCAAGAGTAGTTTTCCAAAACTTGCCTTAAATAAGACTCATTTATATCAACAATTTTAATTCAAATAAAATTTAAAAGGAGTATCACTGAGCAGACTCAGGTTGCTACTTCTATTCTACTTTATTTTTTTCCTAGCTATTCACCATTTCACACTCAAATACTACTTAAGAGTATATGGAATGTTCTACCATTACATAAGTGATTTTCTTCAGTTCCACAATGGCAAATGTACACAGTTGACATAAGATGTTTTTTTCTTTTTCAGCATTCAAGGCCTCCAGCCACCTCTTTACTATATGCAAAATGTGCTTTCAGCTACCATTAGCAAAATATTTTTATTCTGATCAAAATATTCAGGTATATTTCTATGCTTTAAAAGTATTTCAATATTCAAATCTTAATTGTAAAACACATACCACATTTTTTTATCATAACTCACCTTGCTTCATTTTATACTATTCTTGAGCATGTCACTGTCCTGGGTTTGGTTAGGATAGAGTTAATTGTTCCCAGGATACTGGGAGGGGAGCAGCCAGGGCATCCAACCTAGGGCTGAATTGGGTATTATATATCATGTGACATCATGCTCAATATTTAAAGAGGGGAAGTTCTGGGAAAGGGGTACTGAAGTTTTGGAGGAGGTTGGGAGTCAGGTGGTGAGCTGTTTGGTTCTGTGTATCACTTGTATTGTACATTCTTTCATTAGTATTGTTGTTGCTATTGATTGGTGTTGTTATCCTCTTTCCTTACCATGCTAAACTGCTCTTGTCTCGACCTGGAGCTCCCTTGCTTTCTATTTTCTCCTCCCCATCCCACCAGAGGGGTGGAGGAGTGGCTGGGCTGAGTGAGCCTCTGTGGTTAAATCACCACAGTCACCCTTTGAGCAACACTAGTTCCAGCAGGACAGAAATAACATTTTAATGTCTCCTGCCATCTTAAGAGGTATTAAAACAAATTCTGGAAAATGTTTTAGACCATTGTCTACCGAAATAAAAAATCCAAATATGCAGTGAAAGTCAAAATTTTGATTGCTTAGTACTGTCAGATTTCAAACATAATCTGTATTTACCTTTTTACCATACAAGTCTAAAAAACTACTGAAAAATATGTGGAATAACTTACTTTTAATAATTTTCTCATTTACTTTTCTCATTTACTTCTTAAAGTGTTAACATATTTTTAGGTTATAGATATTCAGAAAGTCTGACATATTATTTCAATAATTAAGGGGCATAAGAGACCCATATTCATCACTAGAGTGGTGTAAACTGACCTGTATATAAATAGAAGTTGGCACAAAGCATTTGGTTGCTTTTCTTAAGTTCAGCATATAAATATTTTGCAGACAATGTAACTAGCAACTATAAAATCATAACCAGTCATTTAATTATGATTTTAATGCAAGCTACTAATTTCACTGAAAAAAGCAGAGTTGTCACTCCACAGGTCCAAAGGTTTTTTCCAATATTTTGCTTTCAAGGGTCTTTCGATCTAATTTAAAACAATAAAAACATCAGCAAGTTCACGTATAATACAGTTTAAAGAAAAAACTGCTGGGGTTTGGTTTGGTTTTGGTTTGTTTTTTTTTTCAAGTAGAAGCGGGAGTTGCTTCTTATTCCTGTAATTTTTAAACATAACGCTATGACCATCTTTGCCATTAAGTTTCAGGTGTTCTATGACAAAGTGACTAAAGATACTAGAAAAATCTGTAGAGATAAATGCTGTTCTGAGGTGCTACACAAAATCCACATGTATGTTTTTTTCAAGTTCTCCACTGTGCAGAAACAACCCTCCAAAATATTGTAGCACAAAATATTGTCCACAGAGTGGTCTACTGATTCAACAGAACTGATATCATCAGACTACTTACATCTAAACATCTTAAGTTTTGTAGTGCTCTATTGTTACCAAAGCTACATTTTTAGCCAAGCTCTGCCTAGCACCATCTCTGAGAATACAGGAAAGCTGAAGTACAAATACATCTTTCAACAAGTTACAAAAGTAGTCTGACACCTGTATCTTCCAAAGACTAAAACAAATCTGAAGTAGATGACTCAACATCTTATTAAAATCCACGATGTGCAGATTATAGCTTAGCAAAGCCATATCATATACCACAGAGAATAAAATCTTCCATATAAGGAGGCCTCTAGTCCTCACAGAAGCTGTTTACCACATAGGACCTCTACATTAAACAGTGATATTTATGCATCAAAAAACCAAACCAAAACACAACTGTATTTAGAGAACGTGGAAAGAAACTTAACACTCCATTCAATAAGGTAAACTTTTCACTACTGCTCTCTGAATCATTAGACTTCACTACCAACATACTCTACACAGTTGAAGAAGGAATGTGGTGACAATGAAGGAGGTGATAGTGCCCCACAGTTTCACAGAAGCACAAAGCACATCTATAGAGTCTTATTGAATAGTACCATAAGAATGCACCAGATCTGATAATTTGCTATGATACTGCAAATACAATATGTGCAATTCTTAGGAGCACAGTAATCACTAAGAACCACAATATATTCATAAGATGAAATGCAAACCAATGTTCAACGTGCACACAGCATCTGGATCTGTGGAAACACATCTTTTGGAATGTTTAACTTCATCAGATGTCAACATTACAGTAAGCAGACCTCCAGCCTTTCACTAAGACTACTCCTTTCTGGGAGGTCCACAGGTAACACTGACTGAAACAAGTTTAAGGAAACAAAATCCTGAAACTGTCACTGAAGGCAATACAATCATCCAAGTCTTTGGCAAGTCTTTGACTGCTATTGTTCACAGGTGAGACCCAAAGAACTAAACATGAAGGAACTGCCAGAGCTGAAGCGCTGTCCATGGTAGGATATGATAGATACTAATAGTCCTGCAATTCCAAAGCCACTGGAATTTAGGTGATCTCAGAGCTTTAAGAGAGCCCCCAGATCCTCAAGTACCCATTCTGAAGCAAGATGATACTCTGTAGTACATAATATTCTACACACTAAATTCCAATGTTGGCTTTTGATTCAAGGCAAGTATAAACTTTCTGTTAACAAAAGTGGAAAAGTCTAACAGAAAAATCTCATATCTTTAACCCATCTAAAATTGCCCCGGGAAGGAAAATTGCAATTCACAGAATCACAGAATGGTGGGGTTGGAAGGGACCTCAGGAGATCATCTAGTTCAATCCCCCTGCCAAAGCAGGTTCACCTAGAGCAACCTGCACAGGACTGCATCCAGGTGGGTTCTGAACATCTCCAGAGAAGGAGACTCCACAACCTCTCTGGGCAGCACGTTCAAGTGCTCTGGCACTCTCACAGTAAAGAAGTTTTTCCTGTGTTCCAGCTTGTGTCTGTTGCCTCTTGTCCTATCACTGGCCACCACTAAAAAGAGCCTGGCCCCATCCTCTTGACACCCACCCTTTAGATATTTATAAACATTAATAAGGTCCCCTCTCAGTCTTCTCTTCTCTAAGCTAAACAGGCCCAGCTCTCTCAGTCTTTCCTCATAAGAAAGATGCTCCAGCCTCTTAAACATCTTTGTAGGCCTCCGCTGAACTCTCCAGAAGTTCCCTGTCTCTCTGGAACTGGGGGGCCCAGAACTGGACACAATACTCCAGATGCGGCCTCACCAGGGCAGAAAAGAGGGGAAGGATCACCTCCCTCGACCTGTTGGTCACACTTTTCTTAATTCACCTCAGGATACCATTTGCCTTCTTGGCCACAAGGGCACGTTGTTGGCTCATGGTCAACTGGTCATCCACCAGTACTCCCAGGTCCTTCTCTGCAGGGCTGCTTCCCAGCAGCTCAACCCCCAACCTGTACTGGTGCCTGGGGTTATTCCTGGGGTTAATCCCCAGGCGCAGGAACCTACACTTGCCCATATTGAACTTCACCAGG